TTTTCTTTTCTTTTTTCACTTTTTTAAATTTTTAAACCCTTTTCAAAACATTTTTCAAAAACCCCCCCCCTAACCTTTGCAAAATTTTTCTTTTAAAACTCCCCTAAGCACAGTTCATCAGCAAAAAGAAAATTGTAATTCCCCCTTTTTAATTTTGATTCCCCATTTAAATTTTAAAACCCCCCCCTCTCCCCAAACCCTGCATTTTAAATTCTTTTCAACCCCCTCTAAAATATAATTTAAAAAACCCCTGGTGACATTACCATCCCTGTCAAAAACCTACTTTTTCCCGGGGAAATAATTTTCCCTCTCTTCTACACACCCTAAAAACCCGACCTCAAATATCCCCAAAAAAAAACTCTTTACACCCTTTTTGTAAAATTACCACCCCATTTTCCCTAAAAAATTTCAACATCTGCCACTTGCTCCCCCTATCCCCCCTATCAATTGGGCCTTTTTTTAAATCCTTAAAAAGCAATAAAACTTTCCCCCACCTTTTTTAAATACTTCTTCACAATATTATAGGTTGGAGGGACAGCAACCACCCGGGAAGTACAACCCCCTGCCAAATGAATGTGAAACAAAAACCTGTAATTGTTTTTGGGATGAGGAGGATTTTGGGTTTTTCTTTTTCTGTCTCATTTAAAAAGCTAGAAAACAGGGTATCTTTACTCCTACTTACACTTTGGTCACATTCACAACACGCACAGCATATATATATTACATACATCTAGGTTTTTTTTCCTTATTCCCAAATAGCTCTTGTTTTTTTTTTTTCTTCTATTTTTTTCCCTGGGGAAGTGGAAAAGAAAACTTTCCCCCCGTTAAACCATGCGTGTCGTAAAGAGGCGACAAAAAAGCCGGGGGGGGGGCCCAAAGGGTATTTAAACCCCTTTTTCCCGTTTTACATTTATAAAAAGAGAAGAAGAAAAAAATTTTTTAAAAATGGGTTTTTTTAAAAAGTGGGGGATGTTTGTGCGGAAAGAAAAAAGGGAAAAAGATTTATTGGGTGAAAAGTTTAAAGAAAAAAGAAGTTGGGTGTCCCCGGCTCTAAGGGGAAAACCAAAATGAAGGGGGGTAGGGGAGTTTCAGTGGGGGGGAAATTTAAAAGGGATTAAATCTGGAGTATCGGGAGAGTTAAGCAAAGGAAGGGGGAGCAGTAAAGTTAAATGAAACAGTTATGGAAGGAGAAAAGAGAATAAGAAAAAGGGGTAAATTCGAGGGAATTTTTGTTGGGGGGTTTAAAAATAAAAGGGTTTTTTGCAGAAGGGGGGCAAAATAAGCCCTGTATGCACCTGGGGGAAAGGAAGGGAGAGGGGGGAAAGAGATTTTGGGAGATGTTTTTGTGAAAGGGATTTGGAGCCTTTGAACCAAATGAGAGATTTAAATTTTGGTAGGGGGCCTGAATGCAAAAATAGGAGAAAATTTTAGAGAGGGTGTGGTAGGGAAGTTTGGGGTGCCCGGTGTAAAAAATAATGGAAGGGCCCCTTTTAATTTAATTTTAAAGAAAGGGTTTATTATAGGGAAAACTTTTTTAAAAAAAAAGGGAAAAAATAAGAAAAACACGAAAATAAAGTAAGGGGGAAAAGACAGTAGTTTTGTTTTGGGTTATTTTTATTAGTAAAAATAAAAGACTGTTGAGTAGATTCAGGATGTTTCAAGTTTTCGGGGGCCACCCGAAAATATCAGATCACTTTCTAGTTTTTAGCACACTGAAGTAAAAAAAAGGGAGAGGGAAAAATGAGAATAGAAGCATAGGGGGAAAAGAAGAGGTTTAAGGTTTATAAACTAAAAGAGGGGCAGTTAGGGTAAGATATAAAACCCGCTATTGGAGGGGAAAAATGGGCTAAAAGAAGCATAGGGGAAAAAGGGGTTTGAAGGGGGAATGGGGGGAGGTTTAAAAAGTTTGTGTTAAAAGTGTTTTAGCAGAAGTTTTTTGGTTTTCAGGAAAGTGGGTGCAGGAGGGAAGAGGAGCGAATTGGGGGAAAAGATATGTAAAGAGAGTAGTAAGGGAGAAAAAGTTAGCATAAAGAAAGTTTTTACAAAGTAGAAGTGATTTCAAGGAGGGAAGAGATATGGAGAAAAAGAGAGAGGGTTTTTGAGGGTGGGAAGGGAATGTAAAAAAGAAAAACAAATGGAGGGGTGGGGCTGTTTTTTCACAAAATTTTGTTGAAAAAAAGAAAAAGTTTTTTGAAGTGAGATTAAACAAATTAAAAGGGAAACCAAAGAGAAAAAAATGGGGTTTTGTTTAGTTAAAAAAAGGGGAGGGAGTTTTTTTAAAAGGAGAAATTGGGGGGTTTTGGGGGGAAGGGGGGAATATTTTTTAGGGAAATTGGTTTTAAAAATTTTATGAAAAAATTGGGAACTGTGAATTTTCCCTGTATAGGGCAAGGAAATAACAACTTGAAAGGAAATGAGGAAGGGGCCCGTTTGAAATGTGGGGGAAGTTTGAGGGAGTAGGTTAAAAAGGGAAAAGGGGGAAAAGGGAGCCGGGATTGAAAGGGATAAAGATAGAAATGTTTTAAAAACCCGGGGGGGTATAGTTTTGGGGTGGTTGGTTCAATTATTTTTAAAAAGTATGGAAGAGGGTAAGGTACCTAGGGTTGGCAAAGACATGCATAGTTCCTTTTTATAAAGCAAAGGGATTTAAAAAGATTCAAAAAATTTTTTGGGGGAAGTCCCGTTGAGTTTACCTTTAAAGGGAAAAAAAGAGTTTTTAAAAATTTAAAGAAATTTAAAATAAGACGGAGAATAGGATAGCAGATGAACAGGAAAGGGTTTTGGGAAAAGGGAGGGGGGGTGGGGGACCAGGTGTTTACAGTGAAAAAAAAAAGTGAACAGTTTTTTAGTAAGGCTTTAAAAAGGTCATTTTGGGGAAATTTTTTGGGTTTGGGAAAAAGGGGTATGAAAAGGGGGGGTAAAGGGGGGAATGTGGGAGATTTTCAAGTGTATGGGTAAAGGGGGTTTGGGTTTCTGAAACAGTGAAGAGTTTTTTAAAGAGGGTTTGTGAGGCCCAAGTTAAAAGTATTGAAAAAAGGGAAAATTTTTTCCCCGAAAAGTAGGCCTTTGGGCAAGGATGTGTGAAGTCACCCTTTGTTTAATATATTTATAGATGGGGTTGTAAAAAGAAGTAAATGCGGGGGTCTTGGGAAGAGGGTGGAGTTAAAAATAAAAATCACACACCAGGGGGGGAGTTTTTCAAGCTGCTTTTTTGCTGATGACCCTGGCTCTTTGGGGGATTCTGAAAAAAAGGGGCAGAGTTTTTTGGAATTTAATTTTTGGTTTGGGGGTGCAAAAAAAGAAAAATTTAAAAGGGGAATCAGGAAAAAGGGAAAGGGTTTTGAGGGAAAAAAAAAAGTTAGGGAAAGAAAGGGTTGAATAAACAAAATTGGAGGGAGAGAGGAAATGGAGGAGGGTTTAACGTATTCAGATATTTGGGAGTGGGCGTGGGCGCGGATGGGGCTTTTGAAAGATTTGGGGGAATCAAGAAATTTATGGGGGAAAAAAAAAAATGATGGTTTTCACTTAGGGTTCCCGTGGAGACCGAGAACTTTGTCCCCTTTGGGGGGCAAAGAGGGGAATGTATGAAGTATGTTTTTTCCAACGCTCTTATTGGGTTTTGAAAACATGGGTTTATGAATGTTTTCAGCGAGGGGGAAGGCTGGAGGCAGTGGAGATGCCTGTCTGAGGGCAATGTGTGGGGTTGAAAATAATGCAGAATTCGAAATTTTTTTAAATTAAAGGGGGAGGTGCGGGGGTTACCCAAAAAAATTGGGCCCCAGGGCTGAGGAAAGGGGTTTTTGAGGTGGTTCGGACATGTAGAGAGAAAGGAAACGAAACAAATAACTTAAGAGTGTATCCCGCCCGTTGTGGAAGGGAAAAGGGGGGGGTAGGGGCCGGGGCCCAGGAAAGGGTTGGGGGGGAGGGGGTTAAAAAGGGGGTTTTGTGTGCGGGGGGCTTGGATTCCCCGCAGGGATGGGGTGAGGGGGGTTTTTTTAGGAGTGAATGGGGACAAAGGTTTTTTTAAAACTTTGACGTGCCCGTTGGGGGTGTAGCAAAGTAACTTTGAAGGGGTTTCAGGGAAAACCGGGAGGCCCGGGCCCCTTTAGTCCTGGAGATGGGAAAAACAGTGCCCCACTCTTTAAAGGGGGGGGTTTAATGTTTCATTTAAAAAATGATGTAAAGCACCCTTCTGGAAGACAGGGGATGGAAAATTTAATATGGGAAAGGGTTTTTTTTTTTTCGGGCCACCCTGCCTTGGGGGGAATCGGCCCGTGTGATAATAAAATAAAAAAAAATAATGTTTTTAAGTTAAAAAACTTTATCACAATCCCCTACCCCACTCTGAAGCCTCCTGATCATCCCAAAATTTTACATTCTGTCTTACCTTAAATTTTTCAATTTTAACTCTACCTTAAAATTTTCCCCGGTTTTACTCAGTAAAAATTTTTCCTCCCGTAATTTTTAAAACTCTTTTTCCCCTTTCCCCTTTTTATAAAGGGAAATACAAGCCCTCCGCCAATTTCCCCAAAAAGGTTCCTTTTCCCCCCTTTTCCCTTTATTTATTAAAAAAAAAGTACCAACCCCCTTTCCCCCCTATTAAACCCCCCCCCCCTTTTAAAAATTTCCCGTCATGATCCCTCAGTTCCAGTGCTTTACCCCCCTTTCCCTTTTACGGGAATTTCCCCCACGTACCTCCACCACACTTTTCATTTTTTCTATTTTTCACTCCTAAAAGATGGGTTTTACCTCCCTGGCCATGCAGAAATTTTTCCGCCCCCTTTCTTTTCCTTTAAAATTTAAAAAATTCCTCAAAATATTCTCCGCCATTACCCCCTACCTCCCCCCTCCCCATCTACTAAAACCCCCCACTCCCCGTTTTTAACCCGACAAAATTTCCCTACTTTCCCTAGACTTTTTTAACTAGTTTAACTCACTCCAAAATTTTTTCTTATTTTCATTAAAATTTCTTGACAGTGCCTCTCCCACTCTTTCATCTGCTCTCCTTTTGCACTCTCTCACCACTCTCTTCACTTTTCTTTTACTCTCCATATACTCTGCTCTTCTTATAACACTTCTGCTTTGTAAAAACATACATGTACAAGCATATATATGCACACCCCTCTGGGTTTTCTTCTGTTTTCTTACTAGTTCTTATTCCTGTTTATTTCCTCTTATCTCCATGGGGAAGTGGAACAGAATTGTTCCTCTGTAAGCCATGCATGTTGTAGGGGCTAGTAACCCCTTCTCCTGTATAAATTACTAAATTTAAAAAAAGAAACTTTTGTTTTTCTTTTTGGGTCACTCTGCCTTGGTGGGATATGGCCGGTTTGTTGAAAGAAAGTTGAAAGAAGATATTATGTGAGCAACAGAGCTAGGCCTAAAAAATGCATATATGTACAGTACATACATTAATTGCCTTAAAATATTTTCACCCATAGCTTATAGTGAATGGTGAATATATTTATTGTAGGAAGTCTGAATAAATGAAGATTGGATATACGTAACTGAAAAACCACAGCATTACTGAAACACTGTAAAATGAGGTGCTGTAAAGCCAGTTCCATTTGTGTTACATTATATTTTTCATCAGAAGAAATGCAAAAAATTCTTCAGATTGTGGGTCTTAGTAAAATGATTATGTATATGCATTGGTGAATTTTTGGGTCAGTAATTTATGTTTTTTCTCTTATACTCCAGTGCAGAGGGAATATACCAAGTAAGAGGGCTTGCTGTGGATCTGAGATATTCCTTCAATACTCAGCTGCAGGTCGTGATTGCAAACTTACCTTGCAATATGCCAGATGTTCAGATAGTCAATAAGGCTCCATTGTTCACCCAGCCAGAAGACAACTGGAAATCCATGCCATTTGTAAAGTCTACTAAAGCAAAAATTGAGTGTAATAAAACTGTACCAGTAAGGTAAGATTGAATTGTTCCAGTCACATTGTACCATGCAATCGCACAACCTTATTTATTTCTGTGGTATTCAAAATGTAGTTTACATGTATTAAAATATTGTTAAGCACAAAAGAAGGTCAACAGCATGCAGTGCATTTTGATCAGACTAATCAATCAATTACTAATGTTCACACACTAATGAAGACTAGACACAGGTTATTGAGTAATTTTTTAATGCAAAGTGAGGTAGCTAAGTGAACATTAGTTTAATTTTAATTACTCATTGTAAGTTAAATGGAATTTCTTAAAGATACATTGAGAAAGAATAAAAAGGCACAATACCGTTACAATACACAAATAACGCACACAAAGGAGACCAAAACTTGTGATGACATTTTGATCCAATTTGGACCATTAACTAGTCAACTGTTAGTGGTTTAGGTCAGACCTAAACGTCACAAGTTTCATTCTCATATATGCGGATTATTTTTGATACGTTGAATTTTGTTAGTAGTTTTATTAGATTTATACAGTATCTGCCAAGTAAATTTACTCAAATTTAATGAATACAGTTTATTTTATATTGATGGCTTCCCAGCCTGGAATACACACAAACATAACTTAATAATTTTTCAAAGTACATATACCCAGAGGCGTCGCTAGAGTTGGTGTCACCCGGGGACGGAATCTCTAGTGTCACCTGGGGCAGCATTTTTGTGCCCCCCCATAAAAATTCGGGGTGGGGGGATGGGGGGGGGAAAACTTCTTTATGTCACTACTGCATGATCAGTGACATGTTTAAAAAATGTGAACTTTTAAGGGGCCAAAAACTGAACAAGAATATTTCCAACTTTTTAATGATAAAATAAATAATCATAGTAAAAATAAGGAAAACAAAAAACTCAAATACCACTTTGAGTATAGCCAAAAATTCCAACTTTTTATTCACCCTAAACAATACAAAAACAAAAAAAAAAAAAAAAAAACTTAAAAAAATAATAAAAAAACATTGAATATCAGAAAACACGTTCCTTTTGACCTTGGTCGGTAACACTAGTAAATCTGATTTAATTTTCCTTTCCCTTCATTTATGCAAACATCTTCCAAAACATCAAAATCAATGATTTTCCCATACATGAACTAATTTTTGTATTTTGTTAATATAAATGGGCTATATAGAAAAAGGTTTCCTCTTATTTTGGTGCAGCACTTTTTTTGGGCATTAGTGCACCTTTTTTAGGGGCTCTATGGTGTCACCCCCTTGGTGTCACCTGGGGTCCCCCCCCCCTTTTATGAACCTCGCATATACCACATTTTCCGGCTAAAAACTCGCTCTTTTTCCACAAAAATTTGGGAAAAAATCATCCTGCCCTTGTATGGTCAAGGTCGGGGAAAGGTAGGCTTTGGTTAACTTTAGCAGTTGTTTTACTAATGTTACATTACATCTGCTTAAAAACATCATTTGGTAGCCAAAAAAAAGGTATGTAGGAACTTTGGAAAAGCATTGTACACATCTGTCTGTGCTTCGGGCCAAAAAACAATCGAACCCCTGCACAATGTGTATGACTTTTGTTGTACAATGTTGGGGCTTTTGAACCTTTGTATGTTACAGGGCTCGTTGCCACTCACTACTTTTACGAAAAAAACCAATTTATACATCATAGGGAAGGGCCACTAATCTTTTCTCCTCCTCGATTATCTACTAACATCTATTTCTATATCTTTCGCCCTTTCCCCCTAATTTTCCTTTCCCCCCCTTACCATATTTTTTGGGTCAGTAATTGTTGTATCTTAACTCCTCAAAAATTTTAAAATAAAAGAATAGCAAAAAAATTTAAATAAAACTTTGAGTTTTGATACATGTATTCTTAAAAAAATTTATAATATTTTAAATTTAAAATTTATTAGCAATTTTTAAAAGACAGTAGGTTTTAAATCACTATTATGAAGCACTTTTTCAAAAAAAAAAGAATACATATATTCAAGAAAACCCTGGTGGGCACTGAGAAAATCCACCACGTGACAACAGATTTTTGGGGTTTTTGATCTGTGTTGGGTTGAGCAAGGAACATTAAAACCTTGAGGGTCACAGGGCCCCCTCCGAAACCGTTTCAGGGTCGGGCCCAAAATTTTAAAAAAAAAAAAAAATTTTTTTATGAAAAAATAGAGTTTTTTTTTTTTTAAAATTATAGGAAAACAAAAAAAATTTTCCTCAATACTTGGAGATTTGATGAGAAGTTTTTAGAAAAAAGGCCCTAGGCAACACGCGACTGCCGCTCACCCGGTAAACTTTGATTTATTTTATTGAAGGTTTGTTTTTTTTTTACTTTTTATTTTTTCACATAACTTTGTGCCTATGAACCAAAGTAAGGTGCAATGTACAAATACCTGTTGTAACCACTAAGACACAAACATAATTATCTATTGTTTACAAAACTTGTTTTTTCAAAAACAAACAATACAAAACATTTTTTATTATTTTTTGTTCATATAATATACCAATAACAGCAGAAATATTCCCATTTGTTTTGCAGCTTGTGGAACCCCGAAAAAATGGGGTTTATACACAAAGGTTTTTATCTTTCTCCCTCTTCTATCCTTTTCAATCTGTCTCTCTCTTTCTATCTGTCTGCTACTCTGCTCACAGGTACCATAAATACAAGTATACATAGTATAAATTACCCAATAACCCAAGCCCCCACAAAGTGCTATATCTCTTGAAGATGTGATAAAAGGATGACGCATCTTTGGTCCTGAACGAGACTAGAGGATAACAGGGAGCTTGACAGACAGGAAATAGACAGACAGAAAATTTAGTATACCGCAAAAAACAAAGGAGGGCGAGTTATCTCATCTTTTGGCATCACTCACCCCCATTTTCCCCCCCAAACGCAGCACTTATCAGATTTATCTCCCCCTTTTCTTGTTTTGTCATGGGTGAACATTTATTATTACATATTATTATTATTACCTATTATTATTATGTATTATTATATTATGTATTATTATTATTATGTATTATTATTATGTATTATTGTTATCATTACGTATTCTTCTTCTTCCTCCTCCTCCTCCTCCTCTTCCTCCTCCTCTCCTCTCCTCCTCCTCCCTCCTCCTCCTCCTCCTCCTCTTCTTCCTCCCTCCTCCTCCTCTCTCTTCCTCCTCCTCCTCTCCTCTTCTTCTTCCTCCTCCTCCTCCTCCTCTGCCTCCTCCTCCTCCTCCTCCTCTGCCTCCTCCTCCTCCTCCTCCTCCCTCTGCCTCCTCCTCCTCTTGCTCCTCCTCCTCTTGCCTCTCCTCCCCCTTGCCTCCTCCTCCTCTGCTCCTCCTCCTCTGCCTCCTCCTCCTCCTCCATTCTTGGAACAAGTTTGAAGAGCTTGTAGTTCATAATCACTATCATTATCATCACCAATGCTCACATCTGAGTCTGGGATTTTGGAAAATAGGAGTTTCCTCTTTGATTCTGGTACAACTGAACGACGGCCTAGCACCAAGGTGGAAGGTGGGGGTTGTTGGGTTTTCCTCACTATTACCCATATTAGGGTCATTAGTTTCGGTCAAAACCTCACCAGAACCTTGAAACTCATCTTCACTGTCACTTCCATCTGTATTAGAACTGTCACTGGGGAACAAAAGTGTCCCAATTCGCTGAGGAGTGAGGAACTTCTTACCGCAGGGCACGTGGAAATTGTGTACTATGATGGCATTCCCACAATGCACCACTGGGTCCCAGATTTTTTTCCTACTGCGCACACCCACCACACAGACCCATTCTCTCACATCTAGGCTTATCAGCCTTTTCCTGCGAGATTTGAGGCCGCTAGAATTTATGCGTACTAGTACGTCAAAAACCCCTACGCGTAAGACGTACTAGTACGACCAAAACCCTCAAAGGGTTAATGAAGGGATTCAGGAAAACTGGTTAACTGAGGTGGGAAGTACAGTGCTCACACTCTGAAGGATGGGTGTGTATGTTGCAATTCAGAAGGCATTTTTGGCAAGATGGGTATTAAATAAGTGATAGTGAATGAATTTTTCTCTTTGGGTCATCTTACCATGGTGGAAAATGGCTAATATGGCAAAAAAAAAAAACTGAGCAATTTTGTTTAACTTCTTTAAGCCTATAGGATGAACTAGCTGTTTTTCAAGTGGACATTTTAATTTGTCCAATGGTTTAAGCAGTGTTTTCATAAACAACTGTAATAATGGTTTACTGTAATTCAAAGCTGTAGCAATAAAAAATTTTTTTTCAATGAACTGGCCATATCCCACCAAAGCAGGGTCATCTAAAAAGAAAAACAAAAGTGTTTCTTTTTAAATTTAGTAGTTTATATGCTATTATTGTTAATTTATACTATAAAGGGGGGGATATTGGCAATTTGGAGGGACATCTAAGCTGTTGTATCTGAGCGCCTCTGCAAAGGCAGTGATTATGTGTAAGTGATGGTGAAAGTGTTGAATGATGATGAAAGTTTCTACTGTCTTTTTGGGTTTATCTAACTTTTTGGGTCACCCTGCCTTTGTGGGAAATGACTGAGTGTTAAAAAAAAAAATTATACAGGAGAAAGGGTTACTAGCCCCTTACTCCCAGTATTTTAGTCACCTCTTATGATATGTAAACTTTGCCAGATGGACTATTGTCACACCTTGCATCATTAAGTACTGGAATGTGATCAAATTAATGAATTCAGAGCCAACCCACTCAGAAATGTTCCAAATATCTCAAAGTATTTTTATCCACAGTGGTATATTACTAACCATTCTGGAAAAAATACCCTGTATTTGCTCACTGTAAATAAAGATAATATTTGCATTAATAACTCATTGCAATTGTGATTAGGTGTAGAAGTGTGAATGGTTCATTACCTCTGTAACTTGTTCAGCTATCAAAACTTTGGGGCCCAGTGATTGGGCCTATTATTTTTTTTTTTTTATTATCACACTGGCCGATTCTCACCAAGGCAGGGTGGCCCGAAAAAGAAAAACTTTCACCATCATTCACTCCATCACTGTCTTGCCAGAAGGGTGCTTTACACTACAGTTTTTAAACTGCAACATTAACACCCCTCCTTCAGAGTGCAGGCACTGTACTTCCCATCTCCAGGACTCAAGTCCGGCCTGCCGGTTTCCCTGAACCCCTTCATAAATGTTACTTTGCTCACACTCCAACAGCACGTCAAGTATTAAAAACCATTTGTCTCCATTCACTCCTATCAAACACGCTCACGCATGCCTGCTGGAAGTCCAAGCCCCTCGCACACAAACCTCCTTTACCCCCTCCCTCCAACCTTTCCTAGGCGACCCCTACCCCGCTTTCCTTCCACTACAGACTGATACACTCTTGAAGTCACTCTGTTTCGCTCCATTCTCTCTACATGTCCGAACCCACCTCAACAACCCTTCCTCAGCCCTCTGGAACAACAGTTTTGGTAATCCCGCACCTCCTCCTAACTTCCAAACTACGAATTCTCTGCATTATATTCACACCACACATTGCCCTCAGGCATGACATCTCCACTGCCTCCAGCCTTCTCCTCACTGCAACATCCATCACCCATGCTTCACACCCATATAAGAGCGTTTGTAAAACTATACTCTCATACATTCCCCTCTTTGCCTCCAAGGACAAAATTCTTTGTCTCCACAGACTCCTACGTGCGCCACTCACCCTTTTCCCCTCATCATTCTATGATTCACCTCTTTCTTTCATAGGACCCATCCGCTGACACGTCCACTCCCAAATATCTGAATACATTCACCTCCTCCATACTCTCTCCCTCCAATCTGATATCCAATCTTTCATCACCTAATCTTTTTGTTATCTTCATAACCTTACTCTTTCCTGTATTCACTTTTAATTTTCTTCTTTTGCACACCCTACCAAATTCATCCACCAATCTCTGCAACTTCTCTTCAGAATCTCCCAAGAGCACAGTGTCATCAGCAAAGAGCAACTGTGACAACTCCCACTTATGTGTGATTCTTTATCTTTTAACTCCACGCCTTTGCCAAGACCCTCGCATTTACTTCTCTTACAACCCCATCGATAAATATATTAAACAACCACGGTGACATCACACATCCTTGTCTAAGGCCTACTTTTACTGGGAAATAATTTCCCTCTTTCCTACATACTCTAACTTGAGCCTCACTATCCTCATAAAAACTCTTCACTGCTTTCAGTAACCTACCTCCTTCACCATACACCCTGCAACATCTGCCACATTGCCCCCTATCCACCCTGTCATACGCCTTTTCCAAATCCATAAATGCCACAAGACCTCTTTAGCCTCATCTAAATACTGTTCATTTATATGTTTCACTGTAAACACCTGGTCCACACACCCCCTACCTTTCGTAAAGCCTCCTTGTTCGTCTGCTATCCTATTCTCCGTCTTACTCTTAATTCTTTCAATAATAACTCTACCATACACTTTACCAGGTATACTCACAGACTTTATCCCCTATAATTTTTTGCACTCTCTTTTGTCCCCTTTGCCTTTATACAAAGGAACTATGCATGCTCTCTGCCAATCCCTAGGTACCTTACCCTCTTCCATACATTATTAAATAATTGCACCAACCACTCCAAAACTATATCCCCACCTGCTTTTAACATTTCTATCTTTATCCCATCAATCCCAGCTGCCTTACCCCCTTTCATTTTACCTACTGCCTCACGAACTTCCCCCACACTCACAACTGGCTCTTCCTCACTCCTACAAGATGTTATTCCTCCTTGCCCTATACACGAAATCACAGCTTCCCTATCTTCATCAACATTTAACAATTCCTCAAAATATTCCCTCCATCTTCCCAATACAGTGGACCCCCGCTTAACGATCCCCTCCAAATGCGACTAATTATGTAAGTGTATTTATGTAAGTGCTTTTGTACATGTATGTTTGGGGGTCTGAAATGGACTAATCTACTTCACAATATTCCTTATGGGAAAAAATTCGGTCAGTACTGGCACCTGAACATACTACTGGAATGAAAAAAGTTCGTTAACCGGGGGTCCACTGTACCTCTAACTCTCCATTTAATAACTCTCCTCTCCTATTTTTAACTGACAAATCCATTTGTTCTCTAGGCTTTCTTAACTTGTTAATCTCACTCCAAAACTTTTTCTTATTTTCAACAAAATTTGTTGATAACATTTCACCCACTCTCTCATTTGCTCTCTTTTTACATTGCTTCACCACTCTCTTAACCTCTGTAATCTTTTTGACTACCACCAACAGGAAGAGTATGGGGTTCATAACAAAGATATTAAACTAACTGTTATGATATGCATGGCTTACAGAGGAAGAATTAAAAAATGTATGTATCTTCAAAAATTCTCTTCCTCTAACACATTATCTGAATGTATTTTAGCCGCTGGTGGAGCATTCTTCAAGTTAACCGTACAACTGGAGAGCCACAAATGGATGTTGTTGTGGAGAATATTCTGCCATCGTGGAACTACTCTCAGCTGCAGATCCCACCATTGTTCCTAGACCTGGGAGTGTACAAGCTCTCATATTGGATTCGACTGAATGCTTCAAAAGTCTTTCCACTTCAGAGGGCAGATTATACATATCTTCAAGTTACTCCAGTTAGTCTGAACATGTTTTCAGTATATTTCGTAGCATTTTCATGAGCCCTTGGTCACATTCTAGCTGTTCTGAGAATATAATGGAGGGCTCACAAAAGTGTCTGGAATCTAATTATTCTGTATTCCATTGTGGTTAAATTACTTATGTATTCTATTCTGAAGAATTGTAAAAAAAATAAAATATTAAGGTTTGTATTTTTTTCTTAGTCACCCCTGAGAGCAGTGATTATGGATGGGTCGGTGTTCAGTGTGAGTCGTGGCTATGGGCAGTCCCTGGTTCTCAGTCCCCAAGAACTCTCCGTTTATCCTGATAACCCCTCTGATAAGGTTTGTTAACATGTTTTTGTTTTTCTTAATTTTTTTCAATGCACTAGCCATATCCCACTGATGTAGGGTGACCTAAAAAGAAAGTTTAAAGTTTTTTTTTTTTCT